ACAAATGTAATTTGCATTGCATTTATAATATTTTCGATATTCTTATCATGTCTAATACAACCAATACAGTTATGACTGTCATGCAGTGTAATGAGATGTTTGCTGGTTATATTGGCCATAGTATTTTATCATTCGGGGTAATTATTATATAATATATATTATAAGAGCACATTTTAGAATATCATCTGATAAAACCGGAGAACTTAGCGTCATATTCCAAGATAGGTACCTATATATCTATTTAAACCAACAGCGGTGTCGATTCTGGCATGATAATCTAAACTTAAATTTGACAACACTGATATTAAATTTAGTTTTAACTTTAGAGAATCATGCCAGAATAGACACCATTGTTGCAATATGTTTAAACAATCCTTGACTTTAATACCATAATAATCACATTTCTTCTTAATAATATTTCAGGGCACACATATTTTTTTATCAGAGCTCATTCAAATATCATGTTTATGAAGGAGGTGTTACTTTCCTCGAATTATATTAAAATTTTGATTTATCTATCAAAATTTCGACAATGTATCGTTGACTGCCAACGACAGTCTTTAGCTTGGGCAGCAACACTATTACAAATCTTCGTTGGCGACAAGATAACGATTAAATGCGCTTGTGAAAAATCATGTTGCATTTAATTACTTTGGGACATCATCGCCACTGTTTACTTGTCATTGAGTTTATCAAGGCTCCATTAAGTACTTTAATCTCTTGCCGACTTCTTGTTAAACAGTTCGACATTGTAACGGTGAAAATCATAAAAGAATATTTTATGTGAATAACAATTTAATTTCATGAAAGTTGTTTTTTATATATTTTGATATTTCAGTACTTTATTATTTGAGTTAGACTTCTGATTATTATTTTCATCATCATCATTAGTATCCCTATTGTTAAGGAACAGATCTTCACAGAATGGAATAAAAAGATTGGGCCATCCATCACGTAAGCCCAGAGCAAATTGGTCGTTGCTACAGACTACAAATGTAGTCGGGACCAAAGAAACACGATGGAGCTAGAGAAAATAAAGTTTTAGTCACCCATCTCATCACTCTCCATTGCTAAAGTTGCCTTAGCTTTTGGACGATCGCATATCAAACAGGCTTACCAAAAAAAAAACTGAAAAGGATTTCTTTCTTTAAAACCTCTGCGACATCGAGATTCTGTATTAATAATAATAATATCTGCTTTCATAGCTAAAAATCACGTGCTAAACCAATACCAGTCTGGTTTTCGACCGGGTCATAGCACCACTACTGCCTTACTAAAAGTCACTGAGGACGTTCGTGATGGCATGGAGATGTCATGGTTAACGGTTCTGGTTCTAATTTATTTTTCTAATGCCTTTAATGCCGCTGATCATAACATTCTCCTTACTATACTATCCCACTTGCGAATCTCGTCTCCGGAACTAGATTGGTTTTCATCTTATCTTCTTGGACGTCAGCAAGCAGTTCGAGCTGGCGGTGCTTTATCAGATTGGTGCGATTTATCGGCTGGCGTCCCACAAGGCGGTATTCTCTCTCCTCTGCTATTTTCAGTCTTTATCAATCTCATTACCTCCATTCTTAGCAACTCTTACCATCTCTACGCTGACAACTTACAAGTTTACGCTCAAATTGGGGTGAATGACCTGGAAGTTGCCATTAGGTCTATAAGTGATGATCTTCAGCGAATTTCGGACTGGTCTCGCAATTTCGGTATTAAAGTCAATCCGAATAAATGCCAGGCCATTATCCTGGGCAGCTCTCGTCTTCTGGCGAAGGTAGACATGAGCTCTGTTGCGTCTCTCTATTTTGATGGAACCCCAATAAAGTTTTCTCCTGAAGTTGTAGACCTGGGTATACAGATTGACCATTCTCTCAATTAGATAGCACAAGATCGGATTCGATGGATGGATCGATTGCTCAACAACTGCATTCGTTTTATTTTTTGTCTTTGTAAATACGATCACGTTTCTGATTTTCTGAAGAAGTTAAATTGGTTAACAGTTCGCCAACCTCGAAATCTCAAAATTCTTTCCACCCTATATTCAATCATTAATGATCCATGTGCTCCTGGATATTTGAAATATAAATTTCGATATCTTGGCAGTATCCATAATCTGAATCTTCGGTCTAGCAGCAAACAAACTCTAGCTTTTCCCTCTCACCATACTGGTTTTCTTTCCAACTCATTTTCTCTTCTCTTCGCTATACGACTCTGGAACGCACTGCCTCCTCATATTCAAGATGCTCCGAAGAAACTGCCTTTTAACTCCGTACGTCATCATATTTATTAGATTCCTCCTCCGCATCCTCCTGATATGATATAGATTTGTATGAATATATCTAAATATTTATTGTTATTTATATATATATGTTATTAATATTGTATGTTTATAGATATGTATTTTATGTACTATGTATTTTATGATAATTATAATAATATTATAATCCATAGTTATTAGTATTATATTTCTGTTATAAATGTTCTATTATCTGAGAAAATCTGCAATAATAATATGTAGTTTTGTTGTTCAATATACCTAAGGACTTCATCTTCATTATCTTCAGCCTCTTAATATCCACACTGCTGGGGCGCAGGCCCTCCCTATAGGTGGATTAGGAAGAAAGCCGTGACCCACCCAGTGCGGATTGGTGGGTGCTAACGACTGCAGATGCAGCCGGGACCAACTGCTTCAAAAGCCTTCCGGAGCACGGAAGAACTCGAGATAATAAATCAATGAGAAATCAATATATCTTTATTCCAACTGGATGTATAGTACGTATGTATTAAAACGTACATTTTTTTTCCCTACCACTCGTTATTGGACAATTTTTTAGCTGCGGATAAAAACGAGCGAAAAGGTCTCCACAACATTAAAAGTATAATGTAACAACATTTACAAATCGTTATGTTGTTAGAACGTCAATACAATCACGATTTATTTAATTTAGAAAACCTGTTGGAATGATTGGACCAGTTCAAACCCAAGCATTTTTGTCTGTTATATAATCAGATACTTTGTAATGAGCTTTTTTAATAAGTAAAATAAGTTTTTCGTCACCCATTAAATGACCGACCATTCCGAAGGTTGCTTTCACGGTCGCAAGCCGCTATCCATACCACTTGCACCATCGAACTCCTCCTAAGTACTTAGATGAAGTTAAATTAAGATTTATACTAAAAAAACATGTGATTATTCCTATTTTAATTATTATCATTTAGGAATTTTCACGTTTTCCATAAGTACTGAACTTGGACGGTTTGTCTGTACATATTTAAAAATATGCTTTTTATAATTAAATCATATACCTAAGTATCACAATATTTTCACACATTCGATTTACATCTTAATGCCCACACTGTACATACTATAGCAGTCAAACATCGAGTGAATTATATAAGTAAACTAGCTGACCGCCCTAAAATATTTCGTACCGCCCTAAAAAAATAGGGGTTGTCCAGCGTACAAAATTGTGAATCTAAACCATTCTCAAATCCCCTTGAACACACACAAAAAATTTCATCAAAATCGGTCCAGTCGTTTAAGAGAAGTTCAGTGACATACACACTCACAGAAGAATTATATATATAAAAGATAAGCGCTTTTATAAACATCACCCCTCGAAAGGATTTTAATATCTACACTAGAAAATAAACAGCTTACGCAGAGTCCCCCTAATAAATAAACAAGGAATAAGCTTAGACTAGAATCTGTATAACTTGAAAATTTGTGCGACAAATCCCCATGCAATGACAATCAAGATATATAACCATATACCCAATACGATAAGGCAGATACAGGAAAGTAAACAATTTAATGGATAAAAGTAATTTTTACGGGTTAATGCACGAAACTTTATTTATTTATTGACAATACAAAATCATTATTCTGACGATGCAGACCTAAAAAGGCTGCGAAATGTCAATAAATAAATAAAGTTTCGTGCAGTAACCCGTAAAAACTAGTTTTATTTAATGAGTGATGTGCGTGAACACCTAAGAAACAAATAATTTAATGGATGTTTAAAGAAGTTTCTAAGTGAAAAATGTTTTTACAGTCTAGACGAATACTTAAAATAAAAATATATTTAGATTTTTAATATAATATGTAAAAGTCATGTTAATATTATTTTATTATACAACAATATATATTTTAACAGAAACTACTATAAAAACTTAAAAGTTCTAGAGCTCTTCATAGATATTTCGGAAACCGTCACCGGTAAGCTAAATATCTATGAAGCTTGAATGCTCTAGCATCAAAATTATTAAGTTTTTTTTAAGGCCTTAAGTCTATACCTCTGAGCGAATTTAAATAAATTTTTGATATTGAGATAGGTGAGGACTCTGAAGAACAATCCCCTATTTATCGCCAAAATTATATTGGAAGAAGCCATCATTTCTAAAGGACAATGGCGAACTACCATACAATTATTTGTTGAAATTTCTTTTTTTGCGTCTATAAATGAATTGCATGTTAAATTATAGAATTTAAATTCTCGATTTCGCCAATGTCCTTTGCCAAATTCTTAGGGTCAATTGCAGCAAAGTTCTTAATTCACAAGTATCAATTTTGCTGTATATTAATAAGCAATATATTGTAATCAGTTTAATAAACAATATAATTTGGCTTTTTATTTCCTTGTCCAAACACAAAATAGTTGTAACCACGGGTATCAAATAATAATTTAACGAACGGTCTTAATAATATTCATTGACTAACAAAAGTTTAATTAACTTTAACTGGGTTAATGTCATTTTGGACACTTTTTGTTAGGTCTCATAATTTGTGTTTAGCAATTCTCGCAATCAATGACCCACCTCTGTGTTCAATCCGTCACTCCAAACATTCGATGACTAAATTATAAATAAATTAAATTAAATTAATGAAATATTTTTTTATTTAGAATCATAACTACTTTCTTTTCCAGAAGCTTCTAACTGATTTCATGGGAATCTATCGAAGGCAAGGTTTTTTTATGTAACCGTGTCCCCATTGTGCGACAGTCATTCGGCCGTTGAAATTATGTAACAACCATAACAACTGGAATGTACCCGCCACAAAAAAATATGTACCACCATCCGCGAGGAATCGACAACGAGTAAGTACTTATCATTGAGCGCACAGCGGGTTGCGGTTGCGGCACATTGTGCAACCGGATCCCACGGCCAGATGGTAAAAGTGACAATTCGGCGATTCACGGCCATTTTCACTGTTAGAAAAATCGCGCAAATAATCGGGCGGCAAAACGATTAGAGGCGGGCTTTATGGACGCTTTCTAGGTGTGCTGACTGCTTCAGAGCAGAGCACAGATCGCGACGCGCGCGCGCAGCTGCCGGACGAACAAATGTTTACTCACCGTTCGATAAAAGCCGAGGCAGCCTCCACAGAAGCCACAAGCGTTCGCTCAGTCGCGCACCACCCGCCAGTGTGGTAACTGATCCTTTTCGTAAGCGGCCACGTATATAACAAAAAAAAGGCACAATCCAGCGCAGAAATGCGGACGGCGCTGATCTGTTTACTGGCCGTCGTGGCCCTCGCGGCCGCTGGGGAGTACGCCGCGGAGGAACCCTGGGTCGAAGAGGAAGATGTGGAGGACAATTACGATGATGAAGCGACGGAGGAGACGCACAGCCGAAGAAGGCGGGAAGTCTACGTCGAGGGTCCTTACGACGAACACATAAGGATCAAGAGGTGCGACGATGAGCCGGTGTACCGCGTGCGCCGCTCACAGGAATACGTGCGATTTCCACGCCAAGTCCACCAGTATGAGGTGCACGAGTTTTCTGACGATGCCGCCCCCGAGTCGCCTCCTTACGAAGAAATGTTGGCGGCCAGCGCAGACCATTACCACAGAGTGTACGCGGCTCCGGGGCAGCCGGCCGCGAGGTATCTCAACCCTGAAGTGAGTGAGGGAGTATTGTCACCTGTGGCGTCTCACCCTGTGCAATATGTCGCGGCCCCTAACCCTGTGCTTAAACCAAAGTATGTCGATAACATTCAGGTTGTGGCACCCCCTAATGCTAATGTGTTCGGCGATCATGTCAAGTTCGTGGCTCCGGAGAAGGCTACCCACCCTGTTCATTTTTTGGGTCACACCGGTGTGAGTGTGGCGGCGGCCCCAGCGGGACCGCTCCCCGCGGCCGTGGCCCCAGTGCCCGTGGTGGTAGGGCCCGTGCCGTTGAAGCAGTTGTCAGGAGACCTGCTGGGCTCGGCCGCTGATCATCACGATAAGCATCATCATGGTCATGAGTCGGGTGGTGGACATCATCATCACGGTGCTCATCATGGCGAACACGGAGGGAAGGTAAGAGTCATCATTCGTTTGTAAATTTAAACATCTGTTTACAAAATGAGTTCACTTCATAAACTGATTTAAATTAGATTTGTAGAAATACTACCAATTAATTTTACTACGACGGGTAGTTGCAAAATCATCAACGTCAACAAAATTTTCTTTAGATTTAAACATTACCAAAAGTATTTCCACGTAATCTTTAAACAATTGAAAATAACACTAAATACTTCAGACATAAAAAAGCAATTCTGTTGAACTGACAAATATTATAAAGTGCATTTGATTACAAGTAATTGCTTAGATTGTGCCATCGATATTCGCGTGTGATATAAACTCACAGATGTATTTTCCAAATACTTATCCTTATATCAGGTAAAACATGCATATACAGCATTTAATTAACATACCGCACAATGCTTAACCAATAAAAACCCTATTCCAAAATTCTGTAATTCTCAATTGACTAAGTATAAATTGTGCCAATAAACAATAAAAAACTTATTTGTAGCATGCACTTAACATTAACTTACAACTACTCAATGTATCCCTTTTCATTCGTTTTCATTTTCAGAAATCAGTCAAATCGTGATAAAATAATGGATAGACTAATAAACACTCGAAAGATGAAATTGTTTGTATTTCGAATAAATTTTCGAAAATTAAATAATTAAAATTAGTAATTTTGCATGAAAAAACTCACTTTTTTTTTTGCAAAATATTACTTCAGAAAGCCATAATAAACTCGTATGAACTACGATATAAAAACTTAATCATTAATTAAAATTCTCAAAACATTTTTAGATAAAACAGTTTAAAGAAAATTTTACTAGAAAGAATTCCACGCGGACCAGACAGCAGAAGGGACTCGAACTCGCACAGTATTTGTTAAGCTGCAAGGCGCGTGGAATTTTTGTAGAAAAAAAATCTTTAGATTTAAACATGTAGCAGTTAAATGCCTGAAAATTAACTAAAACAGTTTACTTTAACTGCACTTTTATTAGCTATATAATATAAAGCTTATTTACTAAATTAAGATAAGGATAGCGATTTCAATATTTGCTTTAGCATATTTTTAAGTGTGTAGGTAGAGGCATTTTTGGTCAATATTATTTTTATATCTAGGTACAATCACACCGACAGATTATTATTTTATTTATTTTTATTTGGAGACAACCGTTTTTTTTTCGTTACAACTTGACGTTAGGATATCAAAAACGAGGAAGTTCTCAATTCGGCCGGTATTTTTTTCGCTTGAAATAAATATTACAATCAACTGAGATTGGAACTTTTAAATTAATTAAAGAAATCATTGAAGTAAAGCTTTATTAATTATTTTTGCACCTCTGTCAAAAAGTGTATTGTAAAAATTCTATAGTAAAAATCTATAGTATGAAATACAAAGTAAAAAAAAGATTATATGGTTGTTTTAGTACTTTTTCAACAACAATAATGTAATCTGATCTTTATAAAGCAATTGAAATATCTCATCTGATATAAAGGGAGTCACAGGCTGTGACCTATCCAAAATTGCGACAAAATTCTCCAGCTGACATATTTCAACATTCATTCATCGTTATTAACTGAGATAATTTCTCCCTTTGTTAATAATTGACTGAAACTTGACTCAGGTGTAATTACTAAAGGACATTTGTAGATTTTTTATTGCTGTAAGACACGTTTATCACAAGGTATTTAATTGCACCAAAATCTGCCGTAATTATCAGGCATCATTGACGCTTACTCAGTCTATGTCAATGACAGGAGGGCGATACTGTGATTAGATAACGATTACAGGCTCCCGAGTTGTACTGGAATCGAAAACAAATCGTGCAATATACAAGGCGTCCCGCGGGTTTGTCTCACGGAGGGAGAGTATATTAAATATTGAAGATAGGATATTTTACTGAAAGAAGACATCATTTTTATTTTTAATAATAACTTTGACGACCTCCATACCCGAGTGGTTTATACGCCGGGTTCCATGGTGTCGCCAAATCGAGAGATCCCGGGTTCGAATCCCGGTGGGGGCAGATGTTTGTGTGATGAATGCGAGCATTTGTACTCCAGTCATGGATGTTTAATAATATGTATTACTTTATAAATATACTTATATTTTATTATGTACAATATATGTATTCTATCCGTTACCCTAGTATCCCATAACACAAGCCTTATAGTGGGCCTTTGGGGCTAAGCTTAATGGGTGTGTGTTTAAAAAAAAAAGACTAGAAACTACATTCACAGTTTTTTTTTAATTCGACTGCTACACTATTGGGAATCAAAGTCGTGAAATTAAAAAAAAAACACATGCCATATTTTATGATAACCATCGAAAGGATTAATCATAAGTTTTTTTTTTAAATAACATAGCATTTTAAAATGAAAGGAAGATCATGAAGAGTTTAAACTAAATATAAATGTTCAGGAAAATTACCTCTTACTGTTCCGTGCTTCCAACAGCTAATGTTATCATTTCAAAGTATTTACTAACTAGTACCTGTTAACTTAATAATACAGAATTTTCTGATTATAAGTACTTGAAAAAAATAATAAAGCGATACTTATACAAACGTTGCACCGTTTCTTTTTTATTTTGGTTTGTGTTCAATTAATTAAAAAAAATAAGAAAATTTAACTAGAAAAAATTTCACGCGGACCAGGCAGCAGACGGGACATGAACCCGCACTCTTCGCTATCCGGGTGAATGCACTGACCAATTATGCTACCGCGGCCCTGATGGCTGCGTCGAAATTCTCCTAGTCATTCTTAAGCTGCAAGGCAGCTCCATCTCTTCGCATTGTAGGTAACCCACAATGCCAAATGAAAACTTTTACAAGTATTAAACATTTGAAAGAGGAAATAGCAATTATGGTCATATTTTTTTTTTAAGCATGTAACTGCTTGATGTTTAAATCTTAAGAAAATATAACTAAATAAAACTAGTTTTTACGGGTTAATGCACGAAACTTTATTTATTTATTGACGTTTCGCAGCCTTTACAGGCTTCGTCGTCAGAATAAAACTTTTATTTAATTTGTCGAGCTACCTTCGAAAGACTTTTATTGAGCGTTCGGTTATTTCATTGTTCGATTTTTAAGTTTTATTGTCTATGTATGAATTTATTATTTAATTTACTTAATAAAATATTTTATTTAAAATTCTTGTTTGTAATTTTGAGTTTATTTATTTGACCCTAAATTAATGAACGCTCAATAAAAGTCTTTCGAAGGTAGCTCGACAAATTAAATAAAAGTTTTATTCTGACGACGAAGCCTGTAAAGGCTGCGAAACGTCAATAAATAAATAAAGTTTCGTGCATTAACCCGTAAAAACTAGTTTTATTTAATGAGTGATGTGCGTGAAAACCTAAGAAACAAATATAAAATATAACTAGAAAAACATTTTAAACATCAAGCAGTTACATGCATAAAGAAAAAATTAGAAAAAAAAAGATTTTTATTTCATTTAAAATGCTGTTATTTAGGAAAAAACAATCCTCTCGATTAACCCTTTTGACGGTTATCATAAAATACATATGTTTTTATGTTTCACGTTTCACGAGTTTGATTCCCGGTTTTGGCAGGCGATTTTTTGAAAACTGTGAATGCAGTTCTACTTATAATAAAAATGCTCGATGCTTTGGATAGGTTATAGCGACGCGCGATCCGCATCATAGGCGATGAGGAGGTGCCTTAACACCTTGAGACTTTTCAATTACGCCGTGACGTGGCGTCACTAAGCACCTTCTATCGTCTGTACCACGGCGAGTGTTCTGAGGAGTTATTCTCTCTTATCCCACCTTCCCCTTTCCTTCAGAGGACCACGCGCGCTGGCCTACGCTGTCACCGTCTACTGTGGCCACAATTCCAACGCGTACAAAGAAATTTGGTGACTCATTTCTTTGTCGCACTATCCGTAAATGGAATGCTCTGCCCGCTCACGTGTTCCCTCCCTCTTACAACCTGGGATCCTTTAAAAGAGGCGTGAAGAAGCAACATGCAGGCCGGCAGGGTGAGGATGGCTGGTGTGGCAGGTAGAGCTGCTGTATCAGCTATCTTCGCGTCTGGACTTCACCTTCACTTAACATCAGGTGGGGTGGAGTCATTTGTCGGACCTATCTATAAAAAAAAATCTACTAAATCTTAAAAAAAAAAATTTAAATCTTACCTTATCGCTGATATTGAAAGGAGATTGCTCAAATTGGCCCAAATGTACAAAAAATATTGACATATACGGTAATTCTTGGCGTAATTTATACTTTATTTTACAGTCATTAGAGTTTAACGGACACCTTAGTATAATATATATTCATTTAAAAAATGACTTTTAATTTTATCGGTTTGGAAAACATACGAATGATTTTTAATGGCTATGGGTGTAGTAACATTCAGCCAAAGACTGATCGAACTTGTTTATATAACATCAAAACAAATCTATTTTGTAAAGATCGATATTTTTTTATTTTATTACACTGTAGTATTAATATCTACAACTATATTATCATTTTCACTACATGCAAAAGTGCTAAGACAATTATTATAGATGGTAGGTGACATCAGAAAGTCTATTGCCATACATTTTTCGCCAAACACCTCCATAAACACATTATAAGGTGTGAAACACTAAAAATCTAAAATATGGTTATAATTAAAACATAACAAAAATAATGAAGCTTCTGAAGATATGGCTGTATAACCTAAATCTCTTAGCTTTCTTTGGTTAACGAGAGTTCAAAAATTCTCTCTAATCTGTGGCTCATTCACAATCATCACACAGTTTCTGTCGCAGAGTACCTTATTATAACCGGAAATGCATAGATGAAGATTTCAAAAGTTACTCTTGTACATTAACTTTAAAAACTGGCAAGTATCTGTTAATCTACATGCTCTATATACCTGAATCTAATACATAATTTCGGTACTTTCTTGATTTCCCCAGTTTACTATATAACTCATTTGTTTTTTATTATTTTAATAGCTATGTACCTATTTGCAAACAAAACCTCAAAA